GGAGCAGGAGGGGCGGTTTCAGCCCCGAGAGAAGGGGCTCAGCCTCATCGAATGCGCCGCCGAGGTGAGGAGGTGGGGGGCCGAGGAGCTGGGCAGGGTGGGTGGAGGCAGCCTCCTCGGGGCAGGAAATACGTGTGTTTTAAATAAACTCCGAGGTACAAGGGAGATACACGTTAACTTGGAGAAGTTAATTCTGCTCACTGTAAACGCCAATTGCCATTTAATTGTCTTAATCTGTGGTTATTACATAGACTACATCAGAGAACTCTGACTTAAAAGGCAAGTAAGATATTTAGGAATTTAATATTTATTGATAAACTTCGAAGTGAACACAGAAACCACAGAAATGTGTTATTTTCATCTCGGGAGCTTTCATACCACTGCAGGAAAGGTGAGATGTCAAGTAGGGAATTCAGAAACCGTGATGTGACCAGCTTTTCATTATTAGTCTGGGGAAATGAACCTAGAAATGCTCGGGTGTGCAGCAGCAAATAAAAGAAGCATAAATATTTCCATGTTAATGACCAGAGTTCCTTACTGTGTTTAGGGCAGGCTTACATTTCTGCACGTGCTTGAATGTCTTTTAGAAAGGTCCTTAATGGTTAACAAAGTAAGTCTCTGAAATCAGTCTGGGTGTTTGTTTTGAAAACAGATCTTTTGTTGTTTAAATATTGACACACAAGCAGAGAGGAGAATAAACTGAGTTTTGTCATCTCTTTCTGTAAGGTCAGGAGTCACTGTGTGTTCATGCACTTGGTAACTATTGTCTTAAAATAACGAATGCATACTTGGAAATGTGGTTGTGCTGGGTTTTGCACCACTGAGACTTAAGACCTGGCTGAAATCCCTATACCTGGATGTGTTTTGAGTCTCAAGTGTCTAAATTAAATTTAAGTTAAGAGAAATTAAGTATTTAAGGATAAAAGAATTGCTTCCCGTTGATCTAAGTAAGAGATGGCTTAGGGAGTGAGCAGTCGCAGTCATCACTGCTGCAACTGAGTAATTTTGACTTGGCTTTTCTTGTGACAGAATGAAAATACTCTGTGTCCAAGACAAAGGAATGCCAAGGTGGAAGATCTTTGGAGTTTGACCAACTTCTTTGGTTTTGCAACGGAAACATTTGTTTTGGCTGTGAATATTCTGGACAGATTCTTGGCTCTTATGAAGGTATTTTGTGGGGAGAGGACCTGGTATAGTGTCAGCTGGGAGGGAGTATGTGAGCTTCCTGTGAACTTCCTGCTCTGACAAAAAGGGCAAGGTTGTGATCTAGGATGTAACTGTGGCTGTTTGCACATTCTTTGCTGACTGTGCAAACGTTATTGAAGTCCACCTTTGGAAAACCTGATGTCGAGTACAGTTCTTGCTAATAAAGGCAAATAGTAGCATTGTTTATTTCCTGTCTGTGGCTTTCACCATGTAAATGTAGAAGTCTAAGATGGAACAAAGAAGGTGCAAAACCATTTGTGTTACAGACTGTTTCTAGGTACTGTGTTAAAGCTTAGCTTAGGACTGGAAATAATACCAAATGATCATTTCATGGATGTTTTTCTTTTTGTGCTGCTGTATGGCAGACAGTTTGAACATAAACCAGTTCCCATTATTAAGTTGGCAGAAAAAACAAAGTTGAATCAGTGTTCTGGTCTGATTGAGATTGCACAAAATGATAGGCTGGTATATGGGGGAGAAGAGCAGAGGTAGGAATGAATCCTTGGAGGCATGGGACTGCCTGGAACAGGCTCAGGCTGGATTTGTATTGGCTTTAAGTGAGAGCGAGTGAGCACTGCTGCTTGCAGAAGCTGGTATGACAGTTCTAACGGCAGCCTATTTGATGTGTAGTGCTGTGGAACAATTTCAATTGAGGGTTCTCTGCTGTTGAACTTATTTCCTCTGACTTAGCTATGGCAAATTGATACTGCTTTATTTGCTCTGCCAGCTGTGTTTGGCTGAAACTGAAGTGATGAAACTAGTTATGAGTAGGCAAGGTCTATGAGTTAGTTGACGTCAGGTCTAGCTGAGATAAGCAAATCTTTCTATTGAACTTTGAAAATGCAAAACAGCTCACCTATGCTAGGTGATTTGTTGGTACTGCTGTTAGGTAAGTGTGGTGTTTAAGGGGGGAGGTATTTATAGTGCTTCTTCTTATTTTTAGGTGAAACCAAAGCATTTATCTTGCATTGGAGTTTGTTGTTTCCAGCTGGCTGCCCGAGTAGTCGAAGAAGAATGCAATATTCCGTCTGCTCACGAGATCATCCGGATCAGCCAATGTAAATGCACTGTGTCTGACCTGAAACGGATGGAAAAGATAATTTCAGAAAAGTTGCACTTTGATTTTAAAGCTACTACTGCCTTAACCTTCTTGCACTTGTACCGTACTATTGTACTCTGTCATACCTCAGAAAGGTGAGTTGAGTTGCACACTGGTGGTGGTGGTGGTGTGTAATTTGCCAAGCCCTTTTTCACTGCCTCTTAAATGATTATGGCCTTGGCTGTAGAGGAGGCAGTTACTTAGTTTTTGCTTCCTGACAAGTAAATGCTTGTTGGCACACATGCTGCTTCTCTTGGGTGTCTTACAGGAATGAAGTATTGAATCTCGACAAATTGGAAGCACAGCTAAAAGCTTGCAACTGTCGTCTAGTCTTTTCTAAAGCAAAAGTAAGTGGAAGCAGCTTTCTCTGACTTCTGAGTAGCTTTTGATTCATGTTACGTTGAGTGTTGTTTTTTTTTCTGTCCTTCTAGCCATCTGTCTTGGCCTTGTGCCTTCTCACTCTAGAAGTTCAGACTTTGAAATCTGTTGAGCTGTTTGAGATCCTTCTGCGTGTTCAAAAGCATTCTAAGGTAAATATTTTTCATGGATTGTTTTTGCGGTTTTTGGGACTGGTGTGATTAATGATGCACAATGTTACATTAAAGGGACCCCTGCTGTCAGTGTGCAATCTTTACAGGTACTGTTTGGCATCAGCTGAAATAAGCAATGAAATGGGTCTTTAAGTATCTGTCTGCAATTCTTGTAACTGAGACATTTTTGTTGCTAGAAAGCCAAATACAAAAAAACCCCTCCTGCTTAGAGAATGAAGTCAGGTAGTCATTTTGCACTGGAACATCTTGGCAGCTGCTTGGCAAGCAGAAGGGTTATGGTTTAAAAAAGAAAGCTTAAATGTATAAAATCAGAAGAAATGACGACTTAATGCCTACACAGGCTTTAACAAGAAGGTGATTAACTTGTACAGTTCTAGTTGTATATTGTAAAGAAACTTCACATAGGTTTGTAGGACTACAATGGCTGATGGGCTGGTTATTCTTTTTGCGTGAATAACCAACATAGGATTTATAGCTTCTAGCTGGATGCTGGATTAACTTTGTGGTCTGGAACATGCTTTTCACTCTTACAGTCAAATTGTAACCCAGTTTCCTGAGAGGTGGAAGTAGTTCCTTAAAGCATGAGATTATTCCATTTTTTAAAGGGCATAATCTCTGTTTCATTGTTCCTTTGGAAGTGATAATGAAAATGTTAACAGCAACTGGCAGTCAAAATGTCAATTTAAATGTCAGTGTGAACATTTCAAGGCAGTGTAGGGGAGTTCACTTTAAAAACAGCCCAACTTTGACTTATCACTCTTGATCTTGACTGATACTTTCAAGTACTTTCCAAGAAGGCAAAATGGAGGAAGGGGTTAACTTTAGACCCTGTGTGTAATAGACTAAATAGGTTCTCTCTTTGCTTTTCAGATAACTGATAGTGACCTACTTTATTGGAGGGAGCTGGTCTCAAAATGCCTAGCAGATTATTCCTCTCCTGAATGTTGCAAACCTGATCATAAGAAGCTAGTTTGGATTGTTTCAAGACGTACAGCCCAGAATCTACAAAACAGTTACTACAGTGTTCCCGAGTTGCCAACGATACCAGAGGGTGGATGTTTCAATGAAAGCGAGAGGTTGGTAAAACTTAATACCAGGACTATAAAACTTATACTAGGCTCACTTACTAGTATTTGGGGGGAAAAAAGGCCAGCTTTGAAAATACTTATGGACTTAAAATAAACCTTAAAAAGAAGGGGGGGACTGTAAGTGCTTTGCAGGATGGGGAAGAAGCATTCTTAAGGCAAGGATGATTACAAAGAATACAAGTCTTCTGAATTTATGCTTGGTATCTTGACTGCTGGCTGCTTGGTTGGTAGGGTATTTTTGGCATTGGAAGAATTACCTTGTTATGGTTTAAACCTTAGTGCTGAGAAGCATGTAGATCTGGGCTGTTAAACTGGGAACAGAGAAGCATGCAAGAAAACAGAGGACTGAGGAGTCCTCTGCCATTTTGAAAGGGTTGTGCTTTGTTTGAATTACTTTTCCTCCTGTTCCTGGTAGTGAAGACTCCTGTGAAGATATGAGCAGCGGAGAAGAAAGCCTTAGCAGTTCTCCTCCGAGTGATATGGAAGGCACCTTCTTCTTCGAACTTGAACCTGAAAGAAAGTGGCAAGCTCTTAGCTGTCAGTCTTAGCATTGTCTTGATTGTATTAGGTTGAAATTTTTAATTCACCATAGAGTCTTTTGGCAATAATAAGTGAGGTGGTAATGTATAACTGTATTAAGGCAAGAATTGCTGTGGTACGTAAATGCCTTGGTTTGTTGCTGTAATTTTAAGGAAGGCAAAAAAATCCCATTCAGGTACCCAGTTCAGCAAAAAAGTTCATGTATAGTTCTCTTGTCAATAAGCATAAATGTAGTTCTGTATCTGTCCAAAATGCTTAGCGGCTAAACACACAAGCAGTAATGGAGGCTGGCAGCATACTGGGCTGTGTTAACAGAAGTATAGCCAGTAGATTGAGGGAAGTAGGGTTTTTTTCCTCCCTTTATGTGGCATTCTCATTTGCAACGGTGACCAGTTTGGGGCTCAAGATGTTGATCAATTTGCACAAGTTCAATAGGGAGCTGCCAAGATGGTTAAGTGATGTGGGGCACAGGACCTGTGAGGAGAGGCTAAGCAAAAAGAGCTTATTCAGCCTGGCAAAATGGCCTTTGGGGGTGGAAATGGGACTGAACAGCAGCCTTTTGGTATTAAAGAGGAGGAGACTACTTCAGGTTCTTGACTGAGAAGCATGGAGCAAGAATTGAGAGGCTTGCATTAAACTGAAATATGAAGTTCTCAGTTAATGGAAGGAGTTTGCTCCTTGGTGTCAGTTAAACATGGAAGTGGACCAAGAGGACAGGCTGTGCAGTCTGTCCTGGGGAGTACTCAGGATTCAACACTGACCCAATCCCATGCGTGCTTTGGATTCCGTGTTGACCCTTCTTTGAGCCAGGAGGATGGGTGAGAGTCCTCTTGAGGGCATCTCCACTCTTAGCTAGCTTGATCTAATCCCAAAGTACTGAGTAGGCTGTGTGGAATAAGATGTATCTGTAGTACCAGACTGAAATGATTTACTGTCAAATGCTGAAAGCGCTTTATCGCTTGACATGC